CAGGTGACTCCAGAGGCACCTGCACACTCATGTTTATTGCGGCACTATTCACGATAGCCAAGTTATGGAAACAGCCAAGATGCCCCACTACTGACGAATGGATCAAGAAAATGTGGTATCTATACACAATGGAATTTTATGCAGCCATGAAGAAGAACGAAATGTTATCATTCGCTGGTAAATGGATGGAATTGGAGAACATCATTCTGAATAAGGTTAGCCTGGCCCAAAAGACCAAAAATTGTATGTTCTCCCTCATATGTGGACATTAGATCAAGGGCAAACACAACAATGGGATTGGACACTTTGAGCACATGATAAAAGCGAGAGCACACAAGGGAGGGGTGAGGATAGGTAAGACACCTAAAAAACTAGCTAGCATTTGTTGCCCTTAACGCAGAGAAACTAAAGCAGATACCTTAAAAGTAACTGAGGCCAATAGGAGGAGACAAGGAACTAGATAAAAGGTTAGATCAAGAAGAATTAACCTAGAAGGTAACACCCACGCACAGGAAATCAATGTGAGTCAATGCCCTGTATAGCTATCCTTATCTCAACCAGCAAAAGCCCTTGTTCCTTCCTATTATTGCTTATACTCTCTCTTCAACAAAATTAGAGATAAGGGCAAAATAGTTTCTGTTGGGTATTGAGGGGGTGGAGGGGGAGAGGGAGGGGATGGAGTGGGTGGTAAGGGAGGGGGTGGGGGCATGGGGGAGAAATGACCCAAGCATTGTATGCATGTATGAACAATAAAAAAATAAAAAAAAAAGACCCAACACATGCTAAAGGATAATGTGAGCAACCTTATGCTCACACATTCAGCAACTTAGCACTTCTTCTTGAGCCTGCCTATTTGGCTGTCTGGAAGGTGCACTTTGCTTTGCTCTTCCTTTGCTTTGTGTTAATAAACATGCTTCTGCTGAAAAAACAACAACAACAACAACAACAAAACAAAACAAGTGATCCAGGATGTGCAGAGCAGGGGAAGGCATGACTGTTCTGCTAGCTGGGGGACAGGATGATGACCTAGTGTTACGTTGGTGAGTAGGGTGCTGGAGCCTGCCTGCAGTCTAACTGTGTGAGCTGGCTCAAGTTCCAGTCGCTCTGTGCATTGATTCTTCCTTTTCAAGACCTGATAGGGTTGTTGTGAAGATTAAACATGTTATGGCTGGGGGTGTGGCTCAGTGGTGCGGTGCTTACCTAGTGTGAGCAAGGCTCTGGGTTCCATTCCCAGCACAAAAAACCAAGGATGTTAACATACTGCAAAGGTTGTGAACATGCTATATGTTTTGGTATTCATAAACAATGTGGCCTTTGTCATTCTTGCTTATAAGTTCCTACATGTGTTTCATTTTCATTCTTTCCTTTGGGAGAACTCCTGAGAATGAAATTACACAAAAATTCAGTCTTGATACATACTACAAACTGCCCTTCAGAAAGGCTATGCAGCATTCAAAGCAAGTAGTTTAAGTAACTCTAGTCCCCCTTGTCAGCACTGAAGGTGGGTGGTTTTTGTTTTTGCCAGTTTGACAGGTATCAGAGTTTTAAGCGTAACTGCCAAGATCAGTCCTGCAAGTTAACTCTGACAGTATTCACATCACATTACATCCATTCACAAAAGTGGAAAAACCCACAAACCCTGTCCTCTCAGGAAGTGGCTAGGCCATTCTTGCCAGCGCAGTACTGGAGCTCAGGAGTGGAGAATTCATCCAGTCTAGAACAGGCTTTGCTGTTAGACCCATGAGTCCCATCAGCTTTGCTGTGCACCCAAAACTTACTGGTTTAAAACGTTTACTGATTTGCCTCAAATTATGTGGGTTGGTAATTGAGGCTGGGCTCAGCTGAGAAAGTTCATCTTTGTTTCATGAAGCATCATTCAAGTTCAGAGTTGTGGTCAGGTGGCATGCAGGGGCCTCTGTTGTGGCAGATGGCAGCCCGTGGAGAGGGTTGGTGGTATTAAACTGGGTGTCAGTCAGCTCTGGCTGCCCTAATAAATCAGTGTAGGAGTGGCTGGCTTAGACAGCATTCCTCATAGTCTGGAGGCAAACCGACTAAGTTAGGTGCTCAAACAGTTGGGTTCATGGTGGTTACAGAGGCAGTCTTGCTGTATCCTTACATGGTGGTAAAAAGTGAGCTAGCTCTCTATCCACAAGGGTTCCACCCTGATGACCTAGTCACCTACCAAAAGCCCTGCCTCCCATCACACTGGGGACTGGGAGTTAGGATTTCAACATATGAATTTGAGAATAAGTCCTAACATTGAACATGTGTTCCTCATCCAGAAGATCAGCCCTGGTTCCTTCACAAGATTGCAGTTGCAGGAGGCTCAAGGGAAACAAGACATGACTGATGCATGAGTGCTTTCTAAGACTGCTGATGGGAGATTCCATCCCACTCATTCTTCGACATTTCTATTCCTCTCCTCTTCCCTCTGAATTTGCTAATGCCTAAGGCTCTGAAATGTCCAGGTATAGATAGGGCTATCTATGGTCATCAGTTCTGGCACACAGGTCACCCCAGAGCCACCTATGGGCCTGTCTTATTGACCACTCTCTGGAGTACTTCGGGCTGCTTTGTGAAGAATGCCTGCAAAGGAAAAGGCAGAAATTGCAGACCAGAGTTTAGTTTAGGGAGAGTAGCAGCGGGGAGAAAGATTAGGAGGGTGGACAGACAGGACTGGGTGGTGCTTGGAATGGGATCATGAAGCAAAGATGGTTCTGGATAGATTCTATCTCTCCGCAAAGATGTCCAGAGTGGGAGGGACTTCCACCTGGGGTCTCACCCTGAATACTGCAGTCTGCATGTGAGCTGTCCTTTTATCTGGATGCCTAACCTCCACTTGTCCTTCTGCTCTGGGGAGCCAGCCCCTTCAGTCTGGCATGCTACCTCCACCATCACCATCACCACCATCACCACCACCACCACTATAGAAGCCCTTGCAGAGCCCAACATTGTATGTGAGGTGGCACATTAGCTCCCTGGGGCAAGGTTAGGGTACTGACCTCAGGGAGCAGGATAGAGGCAGCAGGGAGGCAGGTCATGCCCTATGTGAGCAGATGCCACCTCAGAGGCACAATGCATGTGATTTGGATTAGTTTTATACTCCCTTCTATCTTTGTATTATTTTTTGCTAAAGGTATTTATGCTTTTGAGAAAATACAAAGAAAAAATGTTTATATTTACTAGCCTATTTCCCCATTTCTCTTTCTTCTTGTAGAACTGAATTCCATATTGTGTCATCTTTAGCCTGAAGAAATTTTCTTTAACATTCCTTATTGGGCAGGTTTGGCGGACGCATTCTGTCAATTTTTACTTTTAAAACAGGGTCTCATTATTGTTGCCGAGGCTGGCCTTGAACTGTCACTCTCGCCTCAGCCTTCTGAGTATCTGAGATTCAGGTATGCACCACCATACCCAGTTCTGTCCATTAAAAAAAAACTGTAGTAAAACACATAGAACATAAAAGTTACCATTTTAGCTATTCTGAAGTGTACCTCAGTGACATTATGTTACAATGTAGTACAACTATCACCATTTCCAAACTTCATCATCACTCAGAACAGAAACCCTATGCCCTTTAAGCAATGATTTCCCATTCCTCCTCTCCCTGCCCCTCATAATCGCTTAATCTACTTTCTGTCTCTAAGAATTTGCCTACTCTAGATATTTTACACAAGTGGGGCCATACAGTATTTTTCCTTGGCTCATTTTACTCAGTATAAAGTTTTCCTTTTCTTTTTGTTGTGACTGGGGATTGAACTCAAGCAGGTGCTCTACCACTTCAGCCACACCTCCAGTCAATTTTGCTCTGGTTATTTTGGAGATGTGAGGTCTCTCCAACTTTTTGCCCAGGCTAGTCTGGAATTGAGATCCTTCTGATCTCAGCCTCCCAAGTAGAAGATTACAGGCATGAGCCTTCAGTGCCTGGCTAGCATAAGGTTTTCTAAGTTCATCACATTATAGTACACATCAGAACATCATTCCTTTTTAAGGTTGAATAGTGGGCTGTGGAGAGGGGACATAGCTCAGTCACAGAGCATTTGCCTAGCCTGCAAGACCCTGGATTGATCCTGGAGGGGATCAACTACATCAAAGATAAGGCTGTATATCTCCTATCTATGCAACACATTTTGCTCATCCATTTCTTTGGACACTTGTGTTGCCTCCATTTTTCTACTGTGAATAATGCTACCATGAACATGGTGTACAAACACGTTTGAACAGGTGTTTTCATTCTTTTGGGTGTCCACCCATAAGTGGAATTGCTGGATCATATGCAATTGTACTTTGAACTTTTTTTCCTTTTTTGCGGTACTGGGGTTTGAACTCAGGACCTACACCTTGAGCCACTACACCAAAACGCTTTATTGTGAAGATTTTTTTCCGAGATAGGGTCTCGCGAACAATTTGCCTGGGGTTGGCTTCGAACCGCGATCCTCCCCTCTGCCTCCTGAGTAGCTAGGATTACAAGCATGGCTGGCGCCGGGTTTGTGCTTCAGAACTTTTTGAGAAACCTTCCTCTACGGTTTCCCCGTGATATTACCCTTTAGGCTACCAACAGCCGCACACAAGTGTTCACACCTGTTTCAATCCTCAAACCAAAGTCTTGTCTTCAGAAGCCTGTGAAGACATGAAAACGTCTCCGAATGTTCTCTTCCGGTCGCAGCGGCAAGGGCGTCAACAGGGCTTCCTTGTCCAGGACAACTGTTAACCGGCTTATCTCCACCGGGTCTACCGGGTGGAGCCACCAGCGCGCGATTTCACGCGGAGCAGGTGCAGAGGAGCCGTGCGGCTAGATCCTCTACCGCGGGACCTCCACTTCCCGGCGCTCTCTGATGACGTCCCCCGCTGCTCGCTCTGCGCGTGCGCCATCCGGCGTTGCCAAGGTGACGGCGAGTCCTGCAACCCGCGGATGCCGGGCCAGGATAGGTCTCCGTCCCTGCGCTAGGCTGTTGAGGCCCCGCCCTGTGGAAGCGGTCGCGCCTCGATGACGTCTCGGGGGCCTGGCTGGGCGTCGCGGACTCCGGAGATGGAGGAAAAGGAGCAGCTACGGCGGCAGATCCGCCTCCTGCAGGGTGAGTCGGTCACGGTTGGGGCGCGCGTCCCCTTTTTTCCCCCCTTCACTTAGCTGAGGCTGTCCCCGAAGCGGTACTTCCCTCTCGCTGTGTCCCGACGGTCGGCTTGGGTGGGCGTCGGACGGGCTGGGCGAGGCTGGGGCCTGCGAGGCTTCGGGCCGGGCCAGGTCAGACCCGGGTCGGGCTTCGGCAGCGAGTGTGCCGGCCTTTTGGAAGGAGCCGTCTGGCCGTAGCTCAGGAATCTCGTCTCCTCTCCACGGTCGCGACCCAGCGTCCGCCTCGCCCCGCGCGCTAAGGCCGGTCCCGGTCCGATGCGGCCCAGCCGGCTTGGGCGTGCGTTCTTCCCGACTCGCTGGGTGCCCTTCTCTCATTACAGACACAGTCCTGACGGATTCCAGGCCGACTCCTCGGACCTGTTTTCCATTTAAGATTTTTAGATCCAAGTTGAGTTTTCTAAGCATTAAGCAAAATAACTTTTCAAAGTTATTTCCACAAGGAGAAGACTTAAGGATCTAGAAAGCATGTATGGAGGAGAGCCCAAGTGGGCTGCCTCCTGCCTTAGGTCAGTTCTTGGGCTTTGCTCACACTCATCCTGAAGCGTCTCCGGTGTGAACATGGCTTCTGTGACCCTGGAGCAGGACCTATGGTAGGGTGTTGGTAACGGGGTGGGGGTGGGGGGAGCTGCCTACTTGTTTGGTGGCTGAGTGCTCTTGCATGCTCCTGGGCAGCCATCAGTGCTTCCTTGGTAGTGTCAGGCCTATCCTTTTCTGTAGGAGATGCTGTCAGGTCTGGCAGGTTGCCAGCCTGTGTGTCAGTTGTTCTTTTTTTCTGCTGTCAAGCGCCAGGTGCCAAGAGTTATTAGATCTGTTACACTGGGTAGAGATTACTGAGGTGCAGGCTTTCAACCTTTCTGTTTGTGGGCAAGCTATAAGGCCTCTGTGGTTGCCTTGCCCAGGCATTACAGCATGGGGCCTGATTGGTCTCTGGATATGGAGTGACACTTGCCCTCAAAGCACTGTGGACTCAGTAGCTCAGTAAATAGAAACCATAAACCACAAGGCTGTGTTTTTGGGATAAGCAGACAGAAATAGGACTGGAGTAGGACTGATGGGGAAAAGGTACATGGAATTGACAGGTCTATGGGTTTTAGCTGAACTCTCAGTGGTTCCCAAGCACTGAGGACTGCCTCTTTGAAGCCAGCAGGGACTCCAGGGTAAGATAGGATCTGATGGTATCTTGCCAGCTGATTCTCTTCCAGGGTGCTCTGTATTGTTGCTGTTTTTATTTATACCTTCTGGTTAATTGAGTCTCTGATTCTGTCTTCTCAGATCTAATTGATGACTACAAAAACCACCATGGCAATGTCCCTGCCCCAGGCACCTCTGCTACTTCCCGGTGGCAGCCACCTACTTACCACAGTGGCAGGGCCTTTGGTGCCCGCTACCCTCGTCCAAGTCGGAGGGGCTTCTCCTCACACCATGGGCCTTTGTGGCGCAAGAAATACTCCCTTGTGAATCATCTCCCGGGATCCTCTGACCCAGCTGGTGACCGTGCTGTGCAGGCATCCCTTGGGGTCAAGGGCAGTCAGGACCCCAGCCCCCAGCAGTATGTCCTTGAAAGACAAGTCCAGCTCAATCCAGATCAGAACATGATCATCAAAATCAAGCCACCAGCAACGTGCAGCTCCATCAGTGCTCCAGGGACCCAGCAGAGTTCTTTGGAAGAGTATGATGACTCCCTCTGGAGTGACCAAAGACCCAGGGAAGGTGAGGGTGAGCCCCCTGGTGGGCAGCTGCAGCCCTCAAGGCTGGGAAGAGCCCGGGGGAATTGCAGTGTGGAGGACTCCCTTCTGATCTGCCAGAAGGAGCCTGGCAAGTCCCGGGTAGTGAAGTCTGCAGCCAGCATGAGTGGCAGCCCTCCAGAGCCTCGCAGGACGGTCAGTGAGAGTGAAATGGCTACCAAGGCACGCTTCCCTTCTACTCTGCCCCCACGCGCTGGTGTGGGCCCTGGCCGCAAGGCATGTCCTCGTTCTGCTTCCATCTGTGCTGCACAGCTCCTCAGTGACCAGAGGGCGAATGCTGGACACCCAGATCCGCCAGCTCTCTCAGGCTCAGTGGTGGCCCTGTCCAGACCAGCCTCAGGGACTAGGCAGGCCCGGGAGGCCTCACTGCTAGTGTCTTGTCGAACCAACAAGTTCGGGAAAAACAACTACAAATGGGTAGCCACCTCAGCAAAGAGCCCCCGGGCCACTCGGAGGGCCCTCAGTCCCAGAACAGCTGCAGAGAGTGTGAACAGGACCCCATTTGGTACAGCTGGAAAGACAGAGAAACCACAGCCCAGAGCTGACCCGGAGGCCAGGCCCCGGAAGCTGGCTACATCCTCCAAGCCCGGACCCCCCATCAGCAAGTACAAATGGAAGGCCTCCAGTCCCTCTGCCTCCTCCTCTTCTTCCTTCCGTTGGCAGTCAGAGGCTGGCAGCAAGGACCATGCCTCCCAGCTCTCCCCAGTTCCATCTAGATCCCCGCCAGGGGACAGATCATCAGTGGAACCTGGCAGCTTGAAACCCCTCTTTGGGGAGCCATCACTCTCCACTTACAAAGTAAAGAGCCGCACCAAAATCATCCGGAGGAGGGGCAGTACCAGGTACTTGTCTCCATTGCTGCAGTGTCCTGTCTGGGTGTGTAGGCTGGGCAGTGGTTGACAAGGTCTTCATGTCTTCTAAGTTGTGGAATTCGGGACAGTTGTGTCACCTCCTTAGCTTGTGCTTCTTAGCTAGTCTACAAATGGAGGAAAGGAAGGCTCATGGTGGACGTATTCAGTGCCACTGGCTTGTTGACCCAAGCTGGGAATTTGGCATGTGACGATGGTTTACATTTCTAGTGGGAGTGAGGCTGGAGGAACTGTTGTCCTTTAATAATCCATAGGGTGAGGGTCAAATGGTTCAGGGGCTTGCTCGGGTCCCCACTTGTGACAGGGAGCCCTGGTGATGCTAGTAGGCTCACCCTTTCCTCCTGTTGGTGAGACACCAGGAGGTCACTAGGGGTAGTCAGTTTTCCTAGACCTGTGAGGTTGGAGGGCATACAGTGCTGTGTCAGGCCAGGTGCTGGGGGAGTAGTCCCGTGTGTCTGCCTAGTGTGCAGCTGGAGTGGAGTGCTGTGTGAGTCCCATGGCAGCTCCAAGCCTGGAGTTCTACCCACACATCTGAACTGGCTGGTGGCCTGGGGCTTTGGGCACTGCCCAGGGGTGCTTGGTCTTTCCTACTCTGCCCATGGCCTTGCGGGCACTCCCTGGCGCAGGCTGAGGGTTGCTCCAGTTGTACTGGGGCAGGTGGAGTAGGTGGGGATGGTGCGCTGCTAGTCTCATGTGCTTTTTCAGCTTTGGGCTTTGTAGCACCTTCTAAGAGTGCTGAGGTGGCGGGTGGTCATTGCCCCAAGAGGAAGTAGATTGATATTATGCTCCAGTGTAACATTATGGGTGTATGTCACTTTCTGAGATCTCCCTTGCACGATTGTGGGCTACTCAAAGATGGTGTCATCAGGTCAGCAGCTAAAGGCAAGGGTGGTGACTGTGCTTGCTGGCAGAAGCTGTGCCTGTGTCGTCAGTGGCATGAACCATCCAATGAGGTATCTCCTTGCTATGAGTATCCCTCAGAAAGTTCCTCCTGCTTTCTGACCTTGGTCTTCGGCTCCCTCTGACTCTGGTCCTCAGATTGTGTATCTTCACTTCCTTGGCCTTGTCTTCTGTTCCTTACAGTTCCTGGAGGGTGGCTTTGCCTTGACCATGCTCGTGGTTTCCTTTATTCCAAGGAAGTGTGGGGAGGGAGCTGTGGAGCTTCCTCTTGCAGGTGGCCTGGGGAGACACATGGACCTGGTGGCAGCTTCTTCTCAGGGATGCTATCCTTCTCCATCTGCCTCTTCCCTAGTCCTGTGCAGGGGCTCATCTAGCTTGGGGGTCATGGAGAGGTGGACACTAGGGGGTCTCTCCTCTGCTCCATCCCCCCTGGATGTGGAGGGGAGGGGAGCAGAATAGCAGCCAGTTCCACACTGATTGGATGGGGAAAGTCAGGACCTTGCAAGGAGCCCTGGCCTACCTTTGGGCCCATTTCCTCACCTACTTGGGTCCAAATGAGAAGGTGTGGATGGTCAGAGTTACCTAGTGAGCCTATTGGTAGCTGCCTGTGTTTTGTCTCCACAGCCTTCCTGGGGACAAGAAGAACAGCCCCTCAGTGGCCACTGCTAACAAGAACTTTCTCAGCCTAAGGCGGAGACAGACCCTTCGGGGGAAAAACAGTCCCATTCTGAAGAAGACCCCCAACAAAGGCCTAATGCAGGTTACCACACACCGTTTATGCCACCTGCCACCGAGCCGGGCCCACCTCCCCATCAAGGAAGGTATGCCAGGGAGGGGCTCTGGGCAGAGGCTGGGAATGACTGTGAGCTACACCCCTCCTTGGCTGGTTAGGAGCTATGTTCGCTGTCCTCTCACTTATGCTGTCAGGTAGCTCTAGGTGAGGCAGTGTGCGTCTAGGCTGTGGATGTAGTACAGGGGCCAGGGTGCTATCCCCTGTAGTCTAAATGGGGGAAGTCTGACTCGGTAGGAGTGTGGTAGCCTTTTCTGCCTATTCCTCAGTGTGTAACCATTGCATCCCTCCTGGGAGAGGCTAGGTTGGTGGCTACCCAGACCTTGTGCTACCTAGGGCTCTGGTCTCTGCCTTGTTTGAAGGCTTCTGTTCTGAGCCAGCCTGAGGCTGCAGGGCTTCCCCTCCTATCCTAAGCTGGCCTAGGGGTAGGGGCTCAGCAGCACTCATTTTCTGAGTTACTTGCTTCTGCAAGCAGGAAACCTGTGTGAGGTCTCACGAATCCCTTGTGGAGGCCTGGGTAGGCCTTGATCTGTGGGGCATAGCCTCTTGAAGACAGCCTGCTCTCGCCTGGGAGGTGCTGATGTCAGGATACACTGAGGGAGCTGCCCCCAGGCAGGTGAATGCTCAGGGATGTGCAGTGAGGGGTCTGGGAGTCTTGGGGGTGGTGCTCACCTGTGTCACTGTCAAGAGCAGGATTTGTCTTGGTGTTCTTGGTATACCCAGTCCTGTGGCATCTCCTGTTTTCCCTCTTGGAGCACTTGGACAGGTGTGAGCAGATGTGTGAAAGCTGGAGAGGGCAGAGTCTTTGGGGACCAGCAGGCCTGAACTTGAGCAGTCCAACTGAGCACTAGCGTTGGTGACCACATGCTTGGTGGTCACCACTGAGCACTAGTGGTTGGTGACCACTGTCCTTGGCTTGACAGGAGTGATCTAGAGAAGGCTCTGAGAGGAGTGGTGCCAGGTGGAGCTGAGAGCCTGCATGGGGCTGGCCATAGGAGAGAGTGTGGGACACAGGCAGAGGGTTGAAAGGGATATGCAGCTGGGGCTGGGGCCATGAGAACATGAGGAAGCCAGCCTGGAGAGAGCTGGCTGCCAGGCCATCCTGCTTGGATGACATGTGCTGCATTCTGGTGTCAGTGTGGATCTTCCTATGTGACTGGGAGCAGGGGGAGCCAAGGAGGTGCCTTGGGGCTGTAGTGAGACTGCTGGATAGAAGTGCAGAGAAGGGGGTGGGCTGGACTGTGGATAGGTACCCTCTAGCCAAGTGAGGTGATAGGTGAGGAGGCCTCCAGCTTTGGGTGGTGGAAGTGGAGGGCCTTGCTGGTATTATCGCCAGGCAAGGTGGAGGAAAAGCTGTGGAGAATGTTGTTGGCATTCTCCATGGTTGTGCTTGTGACTGGCCTATTCCTTCTTTAGGCCCAGAGTAGAGCGGGGTGCAGGCTGGGGACGGTAAAGGCTGCCTCCTGCTGGCAAGGGCTGGCACAGTACTGCTGAGCCCCACAAGGATCAACCAAGCAAGGAGCACTGAGGGGTCGTGAAGTCACCAGCTCCATTTGCAAATGGTGCATAGTTGGGCACTGTGGATAGTAGATCAGGGGATTCCTAGAGTTGCTCTCTCCACTAGGGGTGGGAGAATGGATAACCTCGTCATTATGCCATAATGACTGCATGGGGCCCTGTAGAGGGAAGAGCTCTGGGAAGGCTTTCCTCCCATTCCTCCACCTACCAAGTGTGTGCTGGGCACTTGGGGCCAGGCATTATCCTGGGGATGCTGGGGACAGAACCACCTTGCAGAAGGACCAGAAAGATGCCTTTGGGTGGCAAATGGATCCTGAGAACAAGGAAGGAGGAGAGTGTGGTAGTCAGCCGAGGGGAAGGTGAGCATTGAGAGTGCTTCTCTGAGGTGACTGTCCGAGTGAGGACAGAGTGAGCAGTGCTCAGCTCTGCAGGTGGAGGGTGGCGGTGGGAGTGACCTAGCCATGTTCTGAAGCAGAAGTAAGGCTGTGTAGCTAATGTGCCGTCCAGGATCAGAGAAGGGGATGAAGTAGGGGAGGTGATGAGGGTGGAGTAGAGGGAGGGACTTATTGCTGTAGGTCTTGAGGAAGACTTCTATAGGCCACAGTAGGGAAAAGAGGTGGTTCTGGTTATGTTTGAAAGCCAGAGAAGGACAGAAGAGGGAGCTGGGACTTGTGTCACCGTCCTCAGAAACATCAGGTGGCAGTATTGGCCCTATGAGTATCCAGCAGGCTGGAGCAAACAGCAAGTCAGGAGGGCCTATATGTGAGGCTTTGCATGCTGGCCCAAGGGATGGTCTCATCCTTCAAGCAGGCAGGGAGCTGTATTCAGAGTTATGAAATGCTGAGCCTGTGTCCTACTTTGACAACTCTGGCAGGTGGCCTCTGAGACTGCCACCACAAAACTCCAGGCATAGAGTAGAGACGAGAATGAGGAGTGAGCACAAGAATTTCCCTGGGCTGGGGCTTGGTGGAGCCTGGCTTGCCCTGGAAAGTGGGTATGTGGCTCTCCAGCTCCTTCCTGCAAGGCTCACTGTTTCCTTCCCTCCCTGCTTGCCCAAGAACTGAGGCCTGCATGTCCTGGGGCCTAGCCAGGACTGTCTTGGATCCGCACTGCTGAAGTGAACTCTTGGGCCTGCAGGAAAGTGCAGCTCCTGTGGCTGCTGGATGGCAGGACTTCCCAGTGGACAGGGTCAGTGTGCTGGGGCTGCCCCTTCATCTGACTGCTTGAAGTTTTTTCTTTCTGTATTTTTCTCAGAATCCTGGAGTTTTCCTCTCCTCCTGGAGTTGTGCCAGAATCTGGGTGTCCAAGGAGGAACCTGTTTGCCCAGTGGGCTCCTGTGCTGGGAAAGGGTTGGGGGGGCAGGGGTAGGGGTGGGTGGGAGGAGGCCTCTAACCCAGCTGCTGGGCAGCCCCACTTGTGGTCCCAACCTCAATTCTGCTATATGGCCCAGTGACCAGCAGAGGGCACACTTGCCCCTCTTATTCCTCCAGCCACCTTTTTCTGGTAATTGATTGCCTAATTTCCTCTTTATGTGAAAGAAAGCAGATATCAAGTAATTTGCAGCAATAACCTGCTAATGCTGGGCCAAGTTTCGAAACTCCCCTGTTCATTTCAAGTGGCAGATAAAACACTAATACATAATTATCCTTGCAAATTGGATTGTTTTAAATAACCAAAAGGCTATGGCCAGGAGAAAGTGATCCCATCTCCCTCGAGTTACTCTTGCAGCGTAATTGCCGCGTTCAATCAATTTCCCTGGCATTAGAAATTCCATCACAATCAACATTAAGCTTTATTCATTGTGATGGCTAAGAGCCGGGCCATTTCTCCTCTTTTTCTTAACTGGCAAAATTAATCAGGGAAAAGATTTTAAACATTTACCCGTGCGAAAGAGGTCAGCCCTGCCACTATATTGCTCAGCAGATAAGGGGGCTAATAAAAAGAAAATTGAATTACTAATGATCACCAGGAACAGAGTATATAAAACCTGGCAATCGCCAGTTCAGGAGAAGGAGAATCAATTTTCTTGGGACAAGGTGCGCTCATTTTTTATTTTGGCGCATATTATCAGCAATTTAATTTGAGAGCGCATAAACAGGAGGAAACAGTTAGGGAATAATGAGCCTGGAGGTGTAAAGAGCTGCAGGATATATGCTGTACACAATTTATTTGCACAACAGATAATCGCTTTAATTGAATTCAAAACTGCATTGTTCAGCAGCTGTGGTGCTGCTCAGGCCTGGGGACTGAGAGTGTCAGGAAGGTTCCAGCCTGACTTGGTACCTCCCCTCCTGTCCTTGCCTCTGCAGGCCTCCTGAGACTTCGCTGGGCAGATTCTTCGCCCTGGAGTCAGGCCTTGGCTTTGGCTAGGGATCCCTCCACTACTGTTGCCATTGTGCTTCTTGCCTTCTGTCTCTGCCTTCCCTTTTCTCCTTGCCATGGAGGACTGAGATTCAAGATGCCCCAGAGAGGGCCCTGAGGGGTCAGGGGAGCCCATGAGTACTAGGTTTGCAGCAGAGACCTGCTTGATCTGTCTCCTATGGGTGGATGCTAGAGAAGGGGTTTGGGCGGAGGAGATAAAACCTTTGGGGATCTTGAAAATGCTATCTGATTTGTTGCCCACATAATTGCAGCAATTAATAGTCACAGTGTGATGGCCATCCATTGGGCTCTGGCTCCCATGTGAGGATATGGAACCTCAGGGGGTCAAGGCCAGTTCTGAGGCTAATTCATCTCAGGTCATGGCCTGGTCCCAGTCTTGTGGATGAACCACTTGAGGTGGCAGACTGGACATTGCTGAGTTGTGTTCTGAGGGTGCTGTCCAACCTGCACTAAGCAGGCCAGCTGTTCACTTGCTGCCCTTTGCCCCAGGCTGGGGAGCTGCTTGCTGTCAGTAAGTCACAGGATTACAAACCAGTGCCCCTTGGAAGCTTCTGTCGCCCAGTGCCAAGGAAAAGTCACTGTAGGTAGATAGGTTGTGGTATCACCACCTCCCAGAGGTCAGCTGGGGTAAGGGGACCCCTCTGCTTCACTTGCCCAGGCTCATGAATGGGTGCCATCTCCAGCCCTCCTCTCTCTATGCCCCATGTTAAACCTGGCCCCTGCATGGGAAGTGGAACCTTTGCAGAGAAGTTGCTAGTGCAGTGGGTTTAGAGTCAGGCCTGGCTAGAGGGCTGAATGGGACTGGACAGGAAGGCCAATTTTCATGGTGCTCTCATGTGTAGACGGGGCTGGCCGAAGACCTGCTGGCTGCCCAAATTTTCACATGAGCCACCCAGCCATCGTTATTTGTCTTTGGCCCAGTGTTCACTGGCATGTGGTAGGAGCTGTCCCTCAGTCCATTGTGCTGGTCCTGTGGTGTGGAGGAACCACTGTGACCATTTGTAGATGAGAAGTGGAGCGAGTGTTCATTCATCCCTGCCAGGTGTTACTGAGTGCCACCCCATCCCCCAGGAATGGATGCTTATTCCCAGATTCTAAGCTCTCTGAGGATGTGCCCAGGGAATCCTCCTG